ATAAAACAAAGTAGGCTTTATGTAATTAAGGTCAAATTCTTTTTGTGCTATCTGTTCTGTTCTGTATCTTTCTGACCAACCCATTACAATCTTTAATTGGATGATTATGTCATACATACATGACAGAACGACTATGCAGTTACTCTTGCAGTTTTGTAATGGCTCTAATACTGTGACACTTGTTTTTTCAGGTTGGACTTGAAGGAACCCCAAGTTCCTGGAAAAGCAAGACTTTGCGATACAACACTTTGTTGGTTCTCGCAAAGAAAGTTGTTACTCTCCAACAGCTTTAAACTTTTTAGTATGCAAAGTAAATAAGTGGATGATAACTGGATATAATTATGTAATCACCCAAGTTCTTCTGAGTTTTCATGGCTGTTGTGATTTTGATGATACAATTAATGAACGTTTTAGCTTGAAATATTATGAAGTTAAAACTTGATACCTTTGTTTTATTAAATCACAACATGGCATGCAGAAATTGACACACTGTGGCATTAAACTCATGTTCAGTGAACACACTTTGTATTTGTCTTGTTATTACTCTATTAAAATGTCAAATAAAATCATCTACTCAAAAGAGTTAAGAGACAACCTGTTCTGACTGTTAGCAGCGCCATCTAGTGGACTTTACGAAAACCTCAGCAGTTTTATATATAAATAAAACCTTTTATAATATTTGATATCAGTTATATTAGAGATTTTTCAAGTTCTCAGAACACACCAATATATTATTCTTTCCTATTAATAATGTTATTAGCATTATTATTTCTAAACAATAAATATTTTATTTCCTATCATTTGTTGATCGATTTCTGTGGATTTATTGAAACGTATAATTATTATTATTATTATTAATAAGAATAAATATTAAAAATATTATTAATTAGAATTATTAATTACTAATAATGTATTTGATGGTCAAACTGCTGTGTAAAGCAGGCTGCACACTAGGGTTTGAGGCACGTCCGTTGGCTATCTCCACACTTCCTCCTCACCAGTGTTGCCAAGTACGCGGTTTTCCCGCGGAATTGGGCTACTTTAACACTTGCTTTTTCATGTCTGCGGGTTTAAGCGACCCCAATAACGTGATATTTAGCCCCTAAAATGCGAATTTTACCAGGGGAACCCCACCAAAAAGGTGTATTCAACCTCCTGCTCTCTCTGGTGAAGCCAACACGGAAGAGGGTGGCTGCAAAAGGGAGTCAATCCCATTAGACTCCCCATGTTAAAATGACCAACTTTACAACACAAAAAAAACGTTTACAGCCTGGTTCAAAAAATTATTTTGGTCTATATAGCTAATTTTGGCCTTCATGACAACTGTGAGGGGGTGAATGTTTTATTAACTCATCTGTTTAAATTATATTAAGCCTTAAAGTTCTGCATAATTAAGGGCGTGGCCACTTGAGTGACAGGTGGATTGCAGCTGCCGTCGCGCTAGGTGGGCGTGGCTTCAGCAACCAGCTCCCGCCTCTTTGCCCATTTGTGGAGTGCAGCGGCCGTCGCGCTAGGTGGGCGTGGCTTCAGCAACCAGCTCCCGCCTCTTTGCCCATTTTCGATTATCCAGGAGTGACGCGCTGCCAAGATGGCGACGGTCCGCTCCGCCCACTCAACTACGGGTGACGTCACGGACACTACGTCCATGTTTTTACAGTCTTTTGCTGGGTCTCAATAGCTGGGTTTCCATCACCCTGCTTTTATGCGCATTTTGAAGTATCGCATCAGAATCTAGAGATGGAAATGCTGAATTTCGAATAAAAATGCCTTAATTCGCAAAAAGGTTTTTACGCTCGCTTGAGGTGGTTTTTGACTTGTGCGAGTGACGTCACGGACACTACGTCCATGTTTTTACAGTCTTTTGCTGGGTCTCAATAGCTGGGTTTCCATCACCCTGCTTTTATGCGCATTTTGAAGTATCGCATCAGAATCTAGAGATGGAAATGCTGAATTTCGAATAAAAATGCCTTAATTCGCAAAAAGGTTTTTACGCTCGCTTGAGGTGGTTTTTCACTTGTGCGATCAAGGGTTAATGCGAATAATGGGAGATGGAAATGCATTTTGCGAATAAATTCCTCCAAGCGCATCAAAAAAAGTAATGTGACTTTGCGCTATGGGACGGTAAATCCTGACTAACCAGCGGAACGATCTTGTTCCACAGCATCTGAAATGTTGTTATATGGTCATTCGGAAATCAAAGTATTTCTGTATAATTGCCTCCCAGAACTGTTACACGACTGCGTTCCCAAACAGCAGCATCCACCTCCGAAAGCAATAACCGCATTCATTCATTCATGTGTTTCGTCTGCTCGTTCTGAGGTGCAAGTAATTTGTTATATAGGAAAATTATTACATTCAGTAGCTTCTCCTACTTTTCTTAGTGATGTATAGTGCCAGTTTATCAGGAAGTGATGATTTTGTTCTCTTTGACTCGTTGGATGGAAACGGTGCTTGTTCGCAAAGGTTTTAAAGGGGTCCTATTATGCTTTTTCACTTTTTCAACTTTAGTTAGTCTGTAATGTTGCTGTTTGAGCATAAAAAAGATCTGCAAAGTTACAGCTCAAAGTCCACTTCAAAAGGAGATATTTTATTTAACAGAAATCACTTTTCAAAAACTACAACGAACGACACGTTTGGACTACAACGCATATTTTCCGGGATTTGTGATATCACAGATATCGACGAGACCTGGTTGAGCTGCTCTAGAGAAGGCAATGAGTGTTATCACTATGTCGGAGACACGCTAGCTTTCTCAAGGCAGATGAACTTAGAGTGTTTACAATCATCCGGGTTTAATTCGCACTCAAATTGATTTGATTTTGACGCAATATTTACTCTGAAGCTCTCAGGCGGCTATGGTAAGGGGCATGACATTTCCCGACCAGGCGCTGAGTGCTGCCAATCACAGCACACACTGGCCCAGCTAACCAATCACAGCACATTTCGTCTTTCAGAAGGCGGGCCTTCATTTGATACAGGAACTATTCGAGCCGTTCATGCCAGACTGGGGAGAGAGGTGTTATAATAATGTAAAATATGTGAAAAATAATGTGTTTTTTGAACAACCTAGTATGAGAGCCTGTTCTAGTACTCCCCCAAAACAAAATCAAGACTTTGTAAAAGAGTATAATAGGACCCCTTTAATCGATATTCTAATTTTGCGCAGTTAAATTCGCAACTTTGAATGGAAACGTTATGTGCTTACTTATACTACGCCCTTAAAGTATACTCTTTTGGTGAAGAAAAAGTACACACTTTTGAGTGTGTAGTAGTAGAGCAGGCAAGCTTTGGGACATACTATCACGTCACACAATTGTCTTTAACGGACCGCTCTGTCGCACCTGTTACACACACCCTCTAAATTGGCCTGTCAATCATCTTTTCACAGTTAACATCCTCCACATTTCATTTAATTTAACTTCCTACCAAACTAGAGAGAAAAAAAGTAGCTCGTTGATCTGCCAGTCCGGGGACTTTCATGCAGAGAACTCTGCTCATATTTTCTGCATAATGATGCATTTAAAAGTTAACGACCAAATGGATATTTATAAAAGTTCACACTGCTGTTGCAGATGAAATATAATACAGATAACAATAAATAAATATTTTTTTTACCAGGTTAAATGTTGATGATTAGTAACTCAAACCCCTTTTTGAAAACCTCTCTACCTAACCGTCGATCGCGCGCATCCGCCATGTTTGTAGTCTTTCTAACGTGTTTGTAGTTCTGGACCGAATCCTTCGCCAAAGCGCAATGGATTGTGGGCAATTTTAGCCATATTAAGTTTAAGTTTAGAGTGTGCACGGATCCACGCTTCAAACTCGACCTGAAATAGTAGACCATCCGGGGACTTTTCAACATACTCTTTTCAACATACTATGCTTTGGGACACACTTATTCCAATGTCACATACTATTTAGGATGGATAGTATGAACATTTAGAGGCAGGGTATGGTTTTACCTCACCGCAATGTGATTTTTACCGGGGGCTCTCTCTCGAAACATGATTGAGCTAGCTTTGAGTAGCAATTGGGCGGGTTTTGTTGTGAAAATCTGGCAACCCTGCTCCTCACTCCTAACAGCTGCTGGCTGATCTGCGTTAGCAGCTACACTACTGACAGATACACCACAATACCTATACCAGACAGCCTTAACACGTACAGCTTTACGCGTTTATTTTTAATTGGTTTGGATAGTATGAACATTGAGAGGCAGGGTATGGTTTTACCTCACCGCAATGTGATTTTTACCGGGGGATCTCTCTCGAAACATGATTGAGCTAGTTTTGAGTAGCAATTGGGCGGGTTTTGTTGTGAAAATCTGGCAACCCTGCTCCTCACTCCTAACAGCTGCTGGCTGATCTGCGTTAGCAGCTACACTACTGACAGATACACCACAATACCTATACCAGACAGCCTTAACACGTACAGCTTTACGCGTTTATTTTTAATTGGTTATCTTCTCATATCTTCTTACATGGACTATACGCTTATTACGACAAAGCGAGCTGAATTCATAAGTGTTTTGGCCGGACGGAGAGAGGCTATAGCAGGCTAATCTGTGTTTGCTAACAGGCTTCAGCTCAGACTGATCGTTTGAAACATCAGTATTTTATAAACACACAGACATGGAGTTCAACGTTAGACGACTAGCAGCGGACGCGGGCACTTTCCTCAGTCGTGCTGTGCAGGTACATTTCTTGAAGTGACCTTAAAGGTGTCTAGTGTCTTAACTTGTGTTTGTTTTTAACCAGGTTGTATTTTCTTAACGGGACAGTTCAGACAAATTGAATGTTCTGTCATAATTTACCCACCCTCATATCTGTATGATGGTGGAGCACAAAGGGATATTGTTATTATGGCCCGACAGCCGAGGTCACCATTCACCTTCATTGCTTTTTTTTCCCCCATAAAATGAAAGTTTATGGTGACCAAGACTGTCATTCTGCCTAATTGTGTGTGTGTGTGTGTGTGTGTGTGTGTGTGTGTGTGTGCCTCACCCGCACTCAACGAGCTCCGCAGCACCTCAGGCACCCGCAAGGCTCGTGTGCTCTACGACTACGACGCTGCCAGCAGCAGTGAGCTCTCTCTACTCGCCGATGAGGTGGGCCTTCATCACGTCATTTTAGATTGGCATAAAATGAATTATAAGTCTTAATTATCAAAAATTTCCATCAGGTGATCACCGTGAGCAGTGTGCCAGGCATGGACTCTGATTGGCTGATGGGGCAAAGGGGGAATCAGAAAGGCAAAGTGCCAATTACCTACTTGGAGCTGCTCAATTAAGGCCAGCGAGAAGTGCAAAAAAAAAAAAAAAAATCACATTATAGATGTGATTTGACAAGAGTAACACTCCAGATGTGATCAGAGAAAGATCAGAGTTTAATGTAGCGCAAAGCAATATAAAAGTCTTCTACACTGCCATGTCCTGTTGTGTGAACGTCTCTTCTGCCATTCGAGGGGCGTCATAGTAGCCTTACAGTAACAAAAAGCAGTCCGAGATTGCCAACTATTCATCAGATTTATGTGCCAACTGATTATTTTTTACTGCTAAACTAATTGATTGTGCTATAATGTCCTATGAAGCTCTAATAAATATTATAGGAACCTGGTGCGGTTTAAAGTGATCTTTCAGTTTTTTTTAGAAAATAATTTTTTTTTAATCATACTGTCTTGTTTCAAGGTCACAGACCAAGCTGCACACACTGGATGCTAATAAAAAAAAAACACCATAGTAACAGTGAACTGATATGCTGACCTGAATTTTGACCACTGGGTGGCAGTATTTTCAATTTGTGAAAATGTAAATGTAAACACTGCAGCTAAAACCTACTAACACACCTCTTATTACTGGTGCAGTATGTTATTTCACTGTAGTGGCACCTAACAGAACTGCAAAAATAGTGATAGTGTGTGGAAATGGTTACCAAACACTCCCTGGACAAAAGCTGTGTTAATGTTAATTAAAAATAAAACTGAGCTAAAGCTGAAGAAATGGCAAGCGGAATGGGAAGAATGTCAAAATAAGCTTTTTGAAATAAATTCTGTTGTAGGAACAAGATATATATATTTTTTAAATCTAGGCATGACCAAGTTGTGTATACAAGGTGTCGTATTGGACATGCCATATGGACATTTATTGATTGGTGAAGAAGCACCAAAATGTCAATATTGCGCGACTCACTTGACGGTGAAACATGTGCTTTTGGTCTGCCCGATACTTAATGTCATGAGACAAAGGTTATTATCAGGACAAACCCTTAAGGACTTGTTTTATAAGATGGACCCAGTAAAATTAGTACAATTTCTTTCAAAAGTAAATTTAAAGAATATTTTATAGAATTGTATGTACAAAACTTTTTTATAATTGCTTTAATGAAAATCCTATTGAACACAAAAAAAGATATTTTGAAGAATGTTGGTAAACACTAGCCATTGACCTCTATAGTATGGGGAAAAAATAATATTTTTTCCCATGCTATACTGTAGATGTCAATATCTACCGTCAACTGTTTAATTACCAGCATTCTTCAAAATATCTTCTTTTGTGTTCAACAGAAGAAACTCTTACAGGTTTGGAACAAGTGGAAGGCGAGGAAATTATAACAGGGTTGTTTAAATAAACTGAAAATATAAAATGAAAACTTATTCAAAATATGAATAAACGCTATACTATTAGATAAATTATAATAAAATAACACTGGTTGGGCTGCTCTTTGGGAAATACAAACTACAAACGTTTTACTTGCACATTAAGCTGGAATAGAAAGTCTTTCAACATTCAAAATATTAAACATCAGTTTTCCGTTCCCCAAATGTCAGATTCATAACACTTAGAAATGCGTTTTATTAACATACTCTGTTCTGTGATCAAAGATAATCATACATATTTGACAGCTGTCAAACATAGCCTTTAATTTAATAGTACCATTATCAGAATGACAGAATATTGAGAATTTTATTTGGGTTGAAAATGTCGAGTTTCACAGCAAATTCATGCAACCCCCATCACAATATCTGGGTTAGGTTTGGAATGGCAAACTTCTCAAAGAGAAGTTCGTTACAGAGGAGTCATTAGGCAGCAGAATCAAATGAGCACATACATGAAACACTCATCTGAAACGGTGAGTACCGATGGGACGTCGTCTACGTTTCATTTCAGAGGAGAAAGTAGGGAGTTGATAGTTGCATACACAGACTGACATGATATCGACGGACTTCGAGCAACAGCCTCCAGGAAGATAATACAGTAATAAATCTCAACCCGGTCTAATTTTATCTTGTGCGGAACCCTTTAAAACTTCAAACATCATCATGGGATACACAAAAGTATCAAATTACATACAAAAGCTAGTAGTTGGGCACTGTGGATAGCTGGCATACACTGAAAATAAATTAACCAACATATAAAGAAGTCCTCTCTTCAAGCGGGGCTCTTTCGATGAAGCGTGTCCGTACGATGACTTGCAGCAGTAGTCGTGTTAGTGCCGGAAAGTGTAGCGGTTGAGCAGTATTAGCCGTCTTTTTCGACGTTAATAATAACAAAGCGGGAACGCCCTCCCACAAAGTTCCACAACGTCTGGGAGCGATGATTGTAACCAACCCATAAAGTGCTTTCGCAATTGGACATTAAAAATAAACATGTTACACTGGGATAAAAACACAAGTTCAGGCACAACCGCGAATGTACCGAGTCTCTCATTTTTTGAACGGTGTCAAGCGTCCGATGTTGTGCCAGAAATTGGAGGTCTTGCGTTTGGGTTCGGCCAACATGATGACCTGCTGCTGGGGCAGGGAGGTGGGAAGCGTGGGGTGCTTCTGACGCAGCAGGAAGTCATAGTAGGGCCTGGTCACAGCTGTGGGAAAGAGGACATAAACAAAGGGTCAGGACCCGAGAGATTTCGGTCATTAGAGAACGGGACACAGATGTACACATGGGTTTAGTAGACGAGCGTGTTTTGGTCAGACCAGTTTAGAGTATGCTGATATTATTGAATGTAATGCTGTAAATGGGTTAAGTGTGTACTTATTAGGGAAGGATGGGTTGCCAGTGAATTACAGAAACTAGATCAGTTACTGTAAAAAAATTAAATAAAAAGGTTGGGGTATGGGTACAGATTTTCTGATTCGATTCCATTTGATCATGCATATGAAAGTGATTCTCACCTCAGCTAATGCTGTACATCTTGTGCATTACAAAAAAATCATGCCATTTATTTACCAGATACAATAACTGAATCATTCATGCTCTGTGTGTGAACACTTCAAATTGATTTTCTTATGCAAAACTGCTATTTTTATATTATTAAAATAATTCACATTAAAATTATGTAAAAATATGAACTCATATTTTAGTTAGAAACTCCCATAAAAGATTGGCAAAAGTTTAATGATTCTTAAAAACAACTGGCTCATAAGAGTCTTTTGAATCACATTACATTTTTTGATTCACTAAAAATAACCAATTTGAAAGATTCAGTTGTTTGTGAATTGGGCTACACTGGTTCTGCTGTGTGTTTTTGATTCAGGAAAAATAACTGGTTTAAGAGAGTCATTTGTTTGTGAATTGGCGCACACTGTTTGCGAGGTGCATTTTTAATTCACTAAAAAGATCCAGTTTAAAAGAGTCATTTGTCTGTGAATAAGACTACATTGTTTGTTCTGCATGGTTTGATTCACTAAAAATAATCATTTTAAAAGATCCATTTGTTTGTGGATTGGGCTACACTGGTTGCGCTGTAATTCTTTGATTCACTGAAAAGATCCAATTAAAAAGAGTCATTTGTTTGTGAATAAAACTACATTGCATGTTGTTATTCACTACAAATAACTAGTTTTAAAGAGCCATTTGTTTGTGAATCACACTACACTGATTGCTCTGTATGGTTCTGGTTAAAAGGTTCATTAGTTAGCTAATTGGACTACATTAGTTACTTTGAATGTTGTTAATTCACTTCAAATATCTGGTATAAAAGAGTCTTTTGTTCATGAATATGTTCGTGAATCAGACTACACCAGTCATGCCGCATGTTATTGTATGCACCCTGTTTGGAAAACTCAAAAAAAGCTGCTATTTCATCTTTTTATTTGATCATATTCAATTTAGACTGCAAACTCTGGTATATATTGATTCAAATATTGATCATGATTAATCAGAAAATCGATATTTTGACCCAGCCTCAGTTATATTAAGCAGATAAGTCACACTAACACACTGTGGAATTACCCTGGGCTACTCGATCGGCTCTCTACTTTGAGAGGACACCCAAGATATTGCCCTGCGCAGGACCCCAGGGGGCACCCTAACCCCCCGCCCCTGCCTACGCTGAGGGCCTTCAGGGAGGAGAGGTGAAGTTAAGGTGGCCCTGGGAGCCAGAGGTCCTGAAGGTTCAGAAAAACGTAGGCACTTGGAAGTTTTTGGGTGAAGAAGTGAAGGAGTTCTGAGTGCCAAAAGATGCTGTAAAGCTAATGCTGTTCCAGGGCAGAGAGGTAATAATGAAACACAACACAAACATGGTCAAACATGTGCTTGTGAACAGATGAACAGTGACCACACATGACACAACTCATTCACTACACGCTAAACTGGAATGATTTCAGTCGCCACACTATATCCTGGATCTCCAGCATGTAATAATAACAGAAAAGACACAAGTCAACTTGACAAAACAGCTGAAATTCACCTTTGGGCTTTCCTGTTGGATGACTTTTAGATGCATTCAACATGGCCTGCTTCTTCTGGACCTCTGTGATCGTAAAACCTGTTAGGAGGACAAACCAAAAACATTAATACAATTAATCAACTGTGGGGAACAGACCAACACTTCTGTCATGTACAAACATTATATAAACCTAAACAGATCAGCGAATATGAATACTTAACAGCTAACAGTTTGAATGTACATTAATGATAGTTGCCTCTGGGTTACTATTGTTAACAAAGCTTAAGTACTAAAATAACTAACTGCTATAAATAAAAACAAAACCTGAAGTAAAACTGAAATAAAAAAAATCTAAATATATTATACCTATATATTAATATTTTAAAATAAGATATAAAAATGACTGAAATATGAATAAATTTAAAGGAAAACTGAAAATATAAAAATAAAATCACACACATATATATATGTATATTAGGGATGCACGATATTATCGGACGGATATCAGAATTGGCCGATAATGGCTTTAAATGTACATATCGGCATCGGCCAGATATGAAAAATTATGACGATATGTCTTGCCGATAGGAGGAATACGTTTACTCGCATTATAAAAGAACTTCATTATTGTTTATTTAATTCTAACAAATAAGTTCTTGTTAAAAACTAACCAAAGGTAAAAATAATTTGCTTATAATTTCCACACAGGAGAGACTTGGTGTTTCCAAACAAAAGGGAATATATCGGCATCGGCTATCGGCCAAAATTAGTTGAAAAATATCGGCATATCCGATATCAGCAAAAATCCAATATCGTGCATCCCTAATATATATATATATATAAATTCAAAATATTAATAAAAACTATAGCTATAGCATATAAATAATATATCATTAATACTAAAATAACTCTGGTTGCCAGGGTATCATAGGTTGTTGCTTACTGGCTTAATTTAAAAGAGCCCAAGCCTTTCTGGTCCCTAGATATGACTGAGGATGTAATTCTAGATGATTTTTGTTTTATCGTCTGATAGGTGGAAATTGTAAATTCAATCACCAAATGATTTCAAGTTGTCATGTACGTCCATTTTTGTTGATGGAGAACAAATGATGCAGGATGACTGTGAAAATAATCAATTTAAAGACTGTGGACAATAAAATCAATGCTTTTATTTGCGCTTCCAAGAGCCTGTTCACCTGTTTCGAGGTCGTGCTGGACCTGTTCCCGTTCATCCGCAAAGGCTCGCAGCCAGCGCTGCTTCTGCTCGGGTTTCTTGGCACACAGAAGGTGGACCTCCTCTCCCCCAGGAGAACATAATTTCAAGGCATTCTTCACACTCACGTTAAAGTCCTTATCCTTCCCATCCTCCACATCCACCACTTGCATCTGATCCATGTCTAACCGACCCTTGTAGTACAGGATGTCCCTCCGAAGCAGATCCTGTGGTGCCAAGCAAGTAGAACAATCATATAAAATAACTACTTTAACTCACATAAAAACCATCTGCCATAAATGACAGTAATTCTGCTCTCACTGGCATGGTAAGCGACTGACCTTCTTACAGAAAACCAGTTGGTGGTCAAAGAGAAAGAACATTCGCTGCTGGCCTTTGCCCTGTGGCTGGGAGATCTTGGTCAGGTCTCCTGAGAAAATCAGATCAGAGCTCCTGCTCAAGATGTCTTCACCCTAATGAAGGGGAAAAGAGCCTGTGAGACCACACAGTTCTGGAGTGAATCAGTGTGTGAATATTATCCAAGATGCTCATGTAATTTACCTCCCAGTCTTCTATGGAGCTTTGCCACTGAGCAATTTTGTCGATATTCTCCAGACGCCTCTTTCTCTCATTGATCAGTCGAGCCACATTCTTCATTGCATTTAAGGCAGCTTCCACATCCTTATAATCTCTGAAAAGCAAAATATATGAGATTGGAAATGCCAATTAGTAAGATGTGAATCAAATAATTCAAAACACTGATTCAGCAATTTATTATCATCCATTAGCGCTCATTAATTATAGATCTTTTTCCTTTGTTATTGCATTGAGATTTTTAATCTACTGGGTAACAATGTCCATTTGGATCAAATATTTTGAAAAAGCAGCTTTGCCATCACAGGAATAAATTACTTTTTTTTTTTTTTTTTAGAATTTATTTTCAAAAGTAGTTTATTCCTGTTATGGCAAAGCTACATTTTCTGGAGTCTTCAGTGTCACATGATCCTTCAGAAACCATTTTAACATGCTTATCTGGCGATCAAGAAACATTTCTTATTACATTTTCTTATTTCTTATACATTCTTCATTTCTTATGTATTATTTCAGGATGAATAGACAGTTAAAAAAACAGCATTTCATTTAAAGACAATGAAAAATAAATATTTTGTCCTTCTTACTTTTCGATTTGCTGAATAAAAAGTATTCATTTCTTTAAAAAAGACTTCTGAGCCAATCTTTTGAACACTAGTATATGTATCTGTATTTTTATTTATATGATTTATATGATGACACTTGATTATCACTGATGCTCAACCAAGTGAAATATCACCAATTATATTCATAAAGTGTGGGGGGAAAGTGTTTAATTTCTTATTTACAGACATGCATATATGCCATATGTTTCGATGCAGTTATTTTGTTGCAAGTGACATGAATGAAGAACACTCATGATTTTTAAAGTGTCATCTACACAAATAATTCACATTTTATTTAGATATCTTTATTTAAAAGAGAGCTAAATGTGCTCATATGTGACCCTGGAGCACAAAGCCAGTCTTAAGTCGCTGGGGTATATTTGTAGCAATAGCCAAAAATACATTGTATGGGTCAAAATTTTAGATTTTTCTTTTATGCCAAAAATGTTCCATGAAGATATTTTGTAAATTTCCTACAGTAAATATATTAAAACTTTTGATTAGTAATATGCTGTGCTAAGAACTTCCTTTGAACAAATTTAAAGGTGATTTTCTCAATATTTAGATTTTTTTTCGCACCCTCAGATTCCAGATTTTCAAATAGTTGTATCTCGGCCAAATATTGTCCTATCCTAACAAACCATACATCAATGGAAAGCTTATTTATTCAGCTTCCAGATGATGTATAAATCTCATTTTCGAAAAATTGACCCTTATGACTTGTGATGGTTTTGTTGTCCAGGGTCACATATGTGCTTAATTTCAAGATCTCTATTAAATAAAGTCAAAATGTCAAAATGCTTGACAAAAAATCATTTATATTTTATAGCTAAATCACACATCAATGGGGACATACAGTCAACTCTCAGAAAAACTGTGGAAAAGTTAGTACCCTTTCAAAAGATACACCTTTATATTAGTATCTTTTGAATGGGTACCCAATTACATCATGAGCGTGTAGTAAATGTGTAACAGCAGGCAGTTGTGTAGACCTCATTACCTGTGCTGTGGGTTGGTGTACTTCAGCAGCTCAGCCAGCTGCAGAGGATACTTGCAGATCTTCTGAACAGGAGTAAGCAGGAATCCATCCAAGGAAATGTCGATCATCTTCTGGAGCAGGCGACAGGCCTCAAAGAAGAACACATACTTCTTGATCTTCATCAGTTTGGAGAGCTGCACGCAGGCATTGGGGTGGTTGTTGCAATATTCAGAGTAGATCTGAAAGTTTGTTTGCTGGATGGAAAAGAAGTGAAGAGAACAGAATAAAATTCCAAACCTAAAAAACTGCATCCTACATCACCGCCTACATGGAAGTCAGCTTACATGCTCTAAGAAGCAGGAGCCAATCTCGCTGAGGTGAGGATGGTCTTTGTTGAATTTCTTCTCCAAGGCTTTGAGAAACTTCTTCTGGAAACGGTAGAGCTCATCGATGTTCCCAAAGATAGTGCGCAGTTGCTCCTCAGTAAACATATCTGTCCTCTTCCGACACTGTTTTATATAGCCCTGGAAGCCAAAGTGAGTAAGTCAAAGGTTTAATGCTATAGCAAAGCTAGTTGGATTATGGAGCAGCTGATATGAATCAGGTCATTCTCTCAGCATGTAAACAGAGAGCCGAGTGACTCTATAGACATTGTAATGCTCTGAAACAAGATCCACATGCTGAAGTAGAACCGATTGATCAGAGCCATGTGGCAAACTGACCTCACAGATGTCCTTCAGGTGTTTGATGTAATCCCTCTCTGTGCTCATGATCTCATTGATGACGTTGGCTCTCATCTGCTCCTTGCAGGGCAGACCGGGCCCTAAGGGGCCCCCCATGCTGGCCCCACCCCCCTCCGAGGCCCCGTCCAGATGGGCTAAGTATTCCTCCATGGGCTCATCTTGGTTCACCCGTAACTACCAATAACGAATAGGTTAATACCGTCAGGATTTACTAAAGACAGTGAAAAATTACAGATGAAAAGGTACTGACAGTTATTTTTGTGGCTGACCTTACTGCATATACATTTGCAGGTTCAAAATTTATGGGAGGAGAGTATTTGAATAAATCATGCAATGCGATTTAGGTCTGCAGTAGTCAATTTACTGGCATTTGTGCAATTATTTAACATGCCAGAAAAGCATGTCTTAACCCATTTTGTGCTTAAAATCTGCAATAACTTGCACTGCTCTTGGTTGATTGCGTTGGTCGTTATGGAAATGATCTGACTGCGTCTGTGTTCTTTAATTTCCACATTGTCATCAGGATCACCTGCAGAACTTTCCACTCCCGTTGGCGCTCTTATGGGATTGTGGTCTCAAGCATGTAAATCTGGTCCTAAATGTTCACTGTGCAGTGGCTTTTACCAATGTACTTGGCAAAAAGAACACTGGTGTACTGATGACCCCTCATTCTAGCCTAATGTAATATAGTGATGACATAATGTGACAGTAATCCAATTTTTTTGTTATGAGCGGGAAATCTGTTCTCCTTTACCCGAACAAAGCTGGCGGGGAACCAGCCCTCACTATCCAGCACCCGGCCCCACCACCACTCCTTGTTTGTGGCGTCCACTACTTCGATGACGTCTCCAGCTTTGAAGCCCAGCTCCTGGTCGTCCATGGTGACGTGGTCCCATAGAGCCTCCGCACACACGCTGCCATCACTGATCAGCTATTGAGACACAAGATGAAGGCAAAACAGAATGGCAAAACATTGCCTGTATAATGTAACTGATCATATTACAGCAGAAACTACTTTAATATGAGTATAATAGCAAATGTGTATGTAAATGAAAAGTAATAAGCCTTTAATCACAGTTGCATTTCATTTCATTGCTTAATTTCATTTATGTGACTAGTATATAGAAATTCTTACACTTGTTTGTTCTTGCTGTTTAATACACACTGTACAGCAACATGCAGTTTACATTGGAGCTGAGAAATATATTGAATATTTACAATTTATTTGTTAGGATTTTGCAGGTGTTAAAATATACAACACTATTGTGAGGGTTTTAATGCATTTTTTATTTGAAGTTTTGCATGACATATGTAATGGATTCTCTAAATTAATTTCAAGTTGCAAAATGAATACAAAAGTCAGATCAAACTATCTGTCAATGCATAAATTCTAGTGCTGTCAAACGATTAATCGCATCCAAAATAAAAGCTTTTGTTTACATAATATATGTATGTGTACTGTGTATATTTATTATGTATATATAAATACACACACATACACTATATAATTTGAAAATATTTACATGTATATACATATATTTATATTCTTATATTTTATATTACATATAAATATATTTAATAATAATTAATATATAAACAACATATTTTTCTTAAATATATACATGCATGTGTTTGTATTTATACATAATAAATATACACAGTGTACACACATAATGTAAACAAAAACTTTTATTTTGGATGTGATTAATTGCGATTAATCGTTTGACAGCACTAATAAATTCAAAACTCAACTGTTAACACAATAATCACTCAGCAATGTTCATGTAGAGTATTAAAATGCTTTAGTAAACATTAATTAATTATTACTTCATTATATTTGTGCAAATAAATGGAAGTAATTATTCTTCCATTTGTTGATGTAGAGTGTGTTGATTTTTTCAATTTATTGTTTTAAGTTCACCTAAATTAAATGTAATTGTTAATACATGATAAATAAAAACAATGTGATAATGTGAAGTTTTAGGCCTGGTTTTCAGTTATACTATAATGTTGGATGGCTTTAATTACTCATCATATCCCCACACACACACACACACATATATGCTATTTAAAGGATGAACGTTTGCCTTACTACGCTGCAAAAAAAAATTAAAAAATGTTTTTAAATACTTTGTAACAACACAGAGCATTCAATTTCACTGCCTGTTTTAGTATCTCAATGGCATAACGTGTTATCATGCAATGATATACAACCCTTCATTCTGTGCACTTAACCAAAACCAAAATGCAATGTATCACTGGAGAAAGAATTACCAAATTAAGGCTTTTCTGTCTGCAGTCTGCTTTTTCAATGAGTGGTCATTTTAAGTTTCCGCTTTCTGCTTGCAAGGATTGATTTGGCAAAGTAAACTAAAAGGAGGGTAATATATTGTCACACTGTTCAGCTTGGCTACAGAGAAAATGAAGTGAAATCCTGGCAAGCTTAACAGCCTCCATCAAACCATCTCTGCTACACAGCTAAACGTGATCTATCGGTGCTGATGTAATAATCACACTCTGTTCTCTGTCCATACTTTGTGCTCACAGCACCGATGGACTCAAAGGCTGAATATACACCCCCTGAATCCAGAGCTCAGCATTCTCATCACCACAGCTGTGCCTATGTACCCTGTTGCCTAGCGACACACCCACATACTTTCCCATGTGCCTCCTCTTCACGGCCTGTGAGTTACAGCTTCTTGGTTTGTTCAAAGATGATCAGAAACAGCCCTGGCACATATTGTACAAACATACAAAAAACTAATGAAAATTATGAATGATCATGAATGAACAAGGTTTTTAAAACTAGTCTTGATGTTCTAGTATCCAAATATTTCCAGAATTCCATTTTTGCTGAGCCAAACCATGCAAAGTTCATTGGTTTGATTTTCCCATTTGTTTCCTTCTGGGTTTTTATTCCTCACACCATGCTGCTCTACTAAACTATAACCCCACTATAACCATGTCAAGCTCACCAGTGTGACCTCTTTTTTTTGCTCACCAGTGAAAGGACTGCGCAGATCCCTCTGGGACAAAGTCTAGCATAAAAGAAAGCCTCACATGGGCCAAAAACACCATGTTTATTGTGCTCGCTAGTCAGAATCAAAGCATATAGATCCATAAGTTGACAGTTACACAACAAGAAATCAAGCACAGTCATTCAAAGGCTCCCACACATAAACACCCAAACCTACCTACAGAAGCAGACAAAACGTCTAAAGGTGCCCTCAGATGACTTCAAAGATGAAATCAAAGCCTGACCCCTAGAAGCCACTCAAGAGTGGTTACAGTTTGGTAAATAATTAACATGCTGCCATCCCAGCATATTACTTCTGGCTGAATGCCGCCAACCTCACACACAGTCACATCCATTCCTGTTACCTGCACTGTGATGTCTGCATCCTGAAAACCCATCCACGAGTGAGCGAGAGGGACCAACTTTCCCTCCTCCTCCTCCTTGTCCTCCTTGTCTTCCTCTCCACCCCTCCCCTCGCTCTTTCTCCTCACTGCGGCTGCGCCCTACTGGAAGGCCAGCAGGAACATCAGCACTACGTTGATGATGACCAGCAACATCATGATGACGAACACCACCAACTTCTGGGCCTCCGGGCTGAGGTTGCACCGCAACAGGAAGTGAGCCATGCCCTGCCGAGACGTCGTTCGCTGGCCTCCACGAGCCATGGCGGCGGAAACCCCCTCGCCTAGAGGTCTGTGCGCAAACACTCGGCACACGGTTTGCTGGCCGGATCTGCTCAGTGTTCTCGGTGAAACGTGAGGGGGAGGGGGAAGAGCCTCCACGTCCACAGTTACCTGCTCACTTCCTTTCCGTTCCCTTCTCTCTCTTTCTCTTTCTCTCGCGTGTGCGCTATCTTCCTCCTCCTCGTCCCTCACTCCCCTCGGATCTTTCCCCGCGCACTGCTGATGTCAGGAGCAGGGGTGGATGTGTCTCTCTGCCTCCATGTATTCTTCTCCTTCTGTGCTATTTTGTGCCCGTTCCTGTCTGTTTTTCTCCTTGTATGCTCACCTTCGCTGCCTCCCCCTCGTTCCCGTCCCTCGTCCTTCTGCTCTGCTTAAACACACGGCCGTGCTAATTCCCTTGGATCTGATAAACGCACTTGAAATACCTTCTCTTTTCACCGTCTCTTTTGCAAAACGCAAAGCTGAGGGGCGGAAATGGTTGCTGCATCTGTGCTTAGCGGCTCTAGCAAAAACCATCCGTCCATCTCCCTGAATTGACTGTTTTTGCTCCTGTTTTTTTTCCTCTCATCCTTCCCAGCCAATCGGCTGGCGGTGCTGTGAAGCGTATCCAGGATACCAGAGTAGCGGAGGCCGGCCTTAGCGGCAGCAGGAGGGAGGCGGCTGTGGGGGAAAGGATGCGAGAGAATGCAGCACAATACATCCTTTCTATCCTGGCGCTTCTCCATTGGCCCAGCCGGCCGCCCGTCAACCACACTTCCCGTGTAAAAGTGAGCACATCCTGCTCGTCTTCTCGAGGCAGTGCTACGGTGACGGTAATGCTGCTGGAGATATTAATTAAAGACTGCATGAGGTGCCAAACACCTCTTGAGCTTTCATTTCCTGACCAGGTCCGGTGTCAGTGAGGTAGGATTAACGCAGTCATCCTCACTCGGCTCGTTCCCGTGCATCAATTTGTGCACAGCTAATGGGATTAGTGAAGGCTTCTGATTCCACTAACCTGCTGTTCTCTCTCTCTCTCGGCCGCAGAGCCCCATCCCCAGCGTCACAGTGTCACACAGCACGATACTTCCTTTTAAATCTAGAGCTGTGCCTTTTTGACACACACACAAAAGCAAAATAATCACTCACTCTCCCCAACACTGAAACAAGCTGTCCCCCCATCACAAGAAATTAACACTAAAACTAGATTTTTATATTTTCAGTGGAAAATATATTTCTATCATGACAACTCTCGGATGATTTTAGCATGGTAATGATATGACAATGTTACTGTATTTGGTCTTGGCAGAATAGATCTGCTACGCTGCTGTTGTTGTTGTAGATTATTGCTGCTGCAAAGCAAACACAAGAACTTGCTACTGCCAATACATACGCCAATACGGTGCTGTGAGTATTTAAGACTGCTGCTGCACAAGTAGCATCATAATAACCTGTAGTAGATCTATACAGGTGGAGCTGGGGAGGTGGAGGGTTTCAGAAGATCTCTGAAGGTCCATGCGCTGCGAACTGCTCTAGTGAACACTAATCAGCCATTTAAATGTAAAGCAGTAAGATCACTGGCTACGTACGCAACATGAACAAATCAGCTTGTGCCAAGCAGTTAAGCTTTGTGAATATCATCAATCTGCATTAACGACCCATCAGCCTGTGCCATCTAGAGCTTCATGACAGAACTTGCCATTTCACTGAGAGTTGTGCCTACAGTATATAAAACTTTGTTGCAGATTGCTACAATGCAGTACCTAAGGTGTTCTAAATGGTTTTTAATGTGTTGCTATGCCATTAATAAGGTGTTCTGGGTGGCAATCAGTATTTTTGTCTTGTTTTTTTAGTAAAAATATTCTTAAATATCTTTGAAACAATATAAACTTGAAGCAAAATAAGTGCAAAACAAGATAATGGTTTGAAAAAAAAATGTTTTTTAATGTGTTCTTTATTTCTCTTTTCTGAAGCTTATTGTTTTTTTCAGTCAGCATGAAATGGAAAATCATTTCATTTCGATCAACTGTATTTTCAAAATGCATTTTATTGATTTAACTGCGAACATTTCATCTGTGCATGTGTTTTATTTTGTACAATTTTTCGACCTTGCTATGTTTTAGTCAAAATGCCATAACTGGATCTTTCCTGTATGGGACATATATCAGACTCTCCAGTCATTTAGTCCACATAAACTCCCATTCTTACAACCGGCTGCAAGTTTCCATTCATATCTGCCTCCATCCAGTCAACACTCAATGGATAGAACCAAGTCTATTATAATCCATTTTACTCAGATGTATATCACACTACAGAAGAAAAGGTGTGTTGCTACTTCCGATTTATTAACTACATTTATTTTGGTTTATGCTTAAAACAACGAAAATGTTAGATATTTTTAATTTAAAAAAATTCAATATATATATATATATATATACATATATATATATAAATATAACATTAACAAACCAATAACAATGACTTTTGCGGCTTATTACTAGTTAATAAGATAGTTGTTAAGTTTGGTTATTGGGTAGGATTATGGATGTAGAATATAGTCATGCAGAACATGTGCTTTATAAGCACTAATTAACAGCCAATATGTTAATAATAAGCATGCTAATAAGTAACTAGTTAATAGTGAGAATTGGTCCCTATACTAAAGTGTTACCATATATGTTTTGCCGTAAACTCGGCTACTGTGGGTGTTTGCTTAGTGGTCTAAATCTCTACTGGTGTTTTTCCTCCAAAACTGGTACTGAATCTGAAGGAAACTATTATTTCAGGCTGGAAAAACTGACTAAACACTGACCCTAAGAGCTTGCTGGTTTCGAACCAGGAACTGCTGAGGGGTTATATTCTGGTGGCTAAATATGCCTCAGGTCCCTTCTATAATGCAAGCTTAGATCTCCAGGTGAAAATGATTATTACCATGATTTGAGGTACTGTATCAGTCATGTCTGTAGCACAAACAGTGCAGGACGATTTACACACTAAATTTTAATACTAGTGGTTCTTCAAATGTCTGAGCAATAGTAACAGTGATGCCTGACTTAGCTCCCTATTAAAACAATGACACTTTAATTTTGCCTGTTTATTATTTACTGGATATTATACCAGGACAGAAGGGCTAAAAACAATAACAACAGCATCAGCACAGGGCTTCTGTGCAGCTCAGTGCACACCAAAGCTCCCAGAGGCCCGGCTGTTGATTAGATTTTTCTGCTGTTTCTATCTAAAATGGAGTTACTGAGCGGCGTTCGAAAATGATACCAAACAGTCATAAATCAAACTCCGACACTCTGCATATTCTCTGAAATACTTTGAAGATAACAGCATCTTCCTACAACAAGGATTCATCTTCAGTCATGCTGAAGATGATGGGAGAAGTACAGTGGCAGCAGGCCATTCTGCTGGTCTCAGGCCTCAGGAGAGGAACAGATGGGTAGTAGACTGAATTCCAACATGTATAAACACTGAATCAAGAGCACAGCTACATACTAAACTAAATTGGTGCCTTGAAAGCCTGTCTGAAACCAGTTATCTTCATATAAAAACACAGTTTGTTTTGGCTCTGTAAGGCCTTGGGTTTCAAACACAGA